CTTATGAATTCTCCCCTCTCTTCCTCTGTTACTCCATGATTAATTAAACTGATAAGAAAAAGAAGATACTTCACGTAATCCCTGGTGGATCCAAAGCTTGAATAACAAGTGTCCAGCTGAATATTTTGTATATTCTTTTCCATAGCTGCTTTCACATTTTAAAGATGTGAATTTCAGTTAGGTAATTTAGAGTTAAATTTTTCTAAAGTTTCAGTGTTTATTTGCTCTTGGCTCCTGTTGCCTATACGTGACCACTTATTTTTTCCAACTAGCCAAACTATGGTGCTCCCAGCTGAATTCTTCAGATAATTTGTAGCTATTTTCTTCTTTCTGAAGAGTTATTGGTGGCTGGTTCCCTTATGATGCAGCTGATTCATTAAGCTGTCTTTAAAAGTCTTTCCCCTTAGAGGCAAAGAGTCCTTTTCCTAGAGTGATTCTAACACTGCAAGTGGTCTGATGCACTTAACATAGTGCTTTTAGTTCAGATATGCTGTGCACGGTTTGTCCTGCTGGTTTTGGCCATCAATTGACTTTTGTTGAAGAGAATACTTGCAGATCAGCATGGAATTTCTGTTGGCAAGCCAAGAGGGAAAGATTGTTTTTCAGAGGTAGCTATGGGTCCCAGAATCTTTCATTTGGAGATGGCCTCAATGTAAAAGAATTACTCTGCAAATGCAAATACTTAAGACCAGAGTTTCAATAACACATGCCAAAAGCTGATACAAGTGAATATAAGTTAGGAAAATTCAACCTTGGTTTGCTCTGTGCCTGCAAGTGTTCTTTTCTATTGGTAAGGTGTTTTCAGAATCTCTTTGCGTTGGAATTAGAGGGCGTCTAGTTTATCATTCAACTCTTTCATCAAGGAGACGGGGAAAAAAGGTATTCTAAAACCATAATATGACAAAGTTATTTTCTCAAAATTGAATACATTCTTATCACAGTATCACAGCAGTCAAGTTCCTGTGACTTTCCTTGTCCATTCGATCATGTTTAATGAATGTTTATCTGAGTGGTGGCCAAGATAGGGATACTACTCAGAATGGGAATGCCTGATTTCCCTGTTAGTTGTTCAAAATACTGTGTGATCAACACAAGTGAAATCTATTTTGCTAATATGCTGCTGAGATTAGTCCCCATTTACCAACTGAATTGATATGAAGTCCTTTATATCTGTACTGCTCCAGGCTGGCCCTCTCTTGACTAGACTGGCAGTGTCTCTGCAGCACGTAGCATTGAGCTCTCCCCAGCTGCCTGCAGAGGCCCCTTTGCACTGCTGTGCCCTCCCTGTATACCTCTTGTCCGCTCCAATGATTCCAAGTGACCACGTGGGCCTTCCTCATAGGCCTTAACATGAGTTGCATTTTGTTACGTTTTCATGGGAGGCTTTTTTGTTTGTTTTTAATTCTGACAAGTGTGGTGGAATTGGGCTTACAGTCTCCTGCACAAAGCTGCCTTTTCCTTTTAGATTCAGAAAATGCTTGAATTTGTTCATAAGGGTCCAGGTCTCCTTTGAATGCATGTGACCTCCTTGAGTCTGGAACTTTTCAACTTTTCTTTTTAATTCTTTAAGAACTATTTCTTTATAATGTACTCAGCTATAACAAAAGAGGGCCACTTCACAGCCTTTTGTGTTTGTATTTATGATGCTAAGAAGTATACTTTGTGTAGGTGGGCACAAAAGTGAGGTGTTGGAAGCGTGCAAGGGCTGCCGGAAAGATGTTGGAGTGCTGATCTGTTGGCGGGCAGAAGAGCTCCACTGGACTGATGACTAAGTAGCACACTGACCTGGTTTGGGGAGAGATGTCATTCCCTACAAAGAGTCTGTACCAAGAGTGATCTACCATGCATTGATAGTTCTGCCGTGACAGAGAGCATTTTCTGTATTTGCTGGCTCCCTTCTGTCTTCATCGTTATTTGGTTTTGTCTCCTGTGTAGCTTTTCACTCTCTGGAACGCAAGTGCTCTCGCTCAACAGCTACGGTTCCCAGCAAACTCAGGTTCTAACTTCAGTCAGGAACCTTTGTTGCCCCTGATAGAAAAACTTGTCAGTGTTGGCCTTCGTTGCTCCACTTCTGTCCATACACTTCCAGAAAGTGGCCAGCCTCTGATAGTTATTGTTTTACCAGTTAAAATTCATCCCTCAATTTCAGTGATTCTGGCATGCACACAGCCCATGGAAGGGAATGTGGTTTAGTCATAAGCAGTGTAGCATCTGTGTTGTTGCTTTAGCACAGTTATTTTCCTTTAAAAACATGTACCTAAATAATAATGGTGAAGAAGGCTATTTGCCTGCCTTGCCCTGTGCTGCTCTTTGGGTCAGGCTGCACCTTCAAGAGGAAGGGGAGAAGAGTGCCCTTGCTAAGATTGACTGAGCCCTCTCAGCTAGGGGAACTTCTGCCATGTGGAGAGAAGGAAATAGGAAGCAAGGAGCTTACAGAAGGGGTAGAAGATAGTTACGTTAAGAAGGGCATGGAGCAGACCCTGTAGCTAGATGTCCAAGGAGAGGAAAAGAAAGATTTTTCCTAAACACTGCAGGGACTCTGCAGTATTTGTTGCCATCCAGTCCATCACTGAAAGGATCCTGTACTTAAAAGTGAACTAGAGGGAAAGGACCTGCCCTGTCAAGACAGTGTGGGGAGGACAAGGATTTATTTTTTAAAATTTTAAGTTATTCTTTTTCTTTTCTTCTGTTCTGCCTTATTCTCTGTTTTTAAAAATACATTATTCCTTTTTATGTTCTGCTAGAACTGGCTTTGAGTTTAAAAGCTCTCTTGGTGGTTTTGATACGCTAGCTATAAAGAAAATGTCTAAAGGGTCCTACTGCAAAGCTGTTGCTGTCTTGGGATCCCATGTAGACTTTTTGTTTTTAGAAACTTCACTGACAGTTTTTAGGCTTAAATAAAATCAAGACCCCTTGTCACTATAATTGACTATTTATGCATAAAATACAGTATCTATCTAATTGGAATCAAACCCAGTTGAATTCAATCTTGAATTAGAATTAGGTCTTCAAATTAATGTAAAGTATAACTGAGAGAGAGATATAGAAACAATTGTGTAAAAAATAAGTGAAATTATTGTAAATTTAAAATTAAAATAGAGCATCACTAAAATTTTTTAAAATCCAGTTTTGGGTCTGATTAAGAATTTTAATACAGAAATCAAAGCATTATCTTATATTTGAATCAAGTACTGTAAGTCTTGCTTTCTTCTTAGACATGTATATTCAATGGAGATCAGGAGACCATCCTTTCATTTCATTATGCTCAGCTCTCCAAAGTTAGGTTAGAGTTTTGTAGACTGCATAATTTTAACAAATCTAGTTCACTGTCAATCAGAGGTAATAATCCTAAACTTTGTTGGCATGGAACGCTTTTTACTAAGCATCTTTATGAAGCATATTAGATGGTTTTGAAGTCTGTTGGGTTTTCTTCCTGGTTTCTGCTATTTGGAGCCTTGTCGATATTCAAAGTTGTACAACTGCAGCAGTTTCATATACTGAAAATAAAAGAAGTTAGGATGTCTCCCAGATAAGGAAGCAACTGCCACCCCTTCCCTTGTGGTGGTATTGTACTGCTGAAAATGTCAGAGAGTTGAGTTTTCTAGAAGCCTTGCAGTCTTCTGCAACCTGGCAGAGTTGCCTCTGGAAAATTGTGACAGTTTCCTGGCTGAGTGCTTTTACTTGATCAGTCTTTAGATAAAGAAAAAGTCTCATCAGAGGCACATGTTTTCCATCAGTTTTACTTGTATGCTTCTTTCTATAAAGGGAAGAGGCATAAAGTGTTTGGCTTGGGTCTTTACATTCAGTGTGCAGACAACTGCAGGTGCTCGACAGTACTACTAAATCATCTTCACAGATTGGGGATTGTGGCCTCTCAGCAACTCTAGTCATTAGAATTTCTCCAAAAAAAAAAGGAGGGTAGGCTGGGATGATACCAGAGAATCAATATGTACTTGTCTAAAGAAACTTTGAATATCAGTCTGCAATTATTGAGAGAGAGAAAGGAAGGGAGTTAGAGTGAGGGAGAGAAAGAAAGAAAGAAAAGAAAGTTCAGTATTGCTCTATGCTGTTATTTAATGACAGGTCATACATCTCATTGGTTTTTTTCAGGAGTTAGCTCCTGAAGTAAAATGATTTTGTGCAAATTTCTGTTTTTTCCTGAAAAGTTAATTTCAGCCCTCATGATTGGAGAGATACCTGAAAATCTGTTGGGAATAAAAAATTATATTTTGAGAATGAGAAGAGAAATAATAACCCAAAATAATACTATTCTAGTGCCAGTGTTGTAAGTTTGGGGAAAAGTCATTACTTTTTTTTTTTTAAGCATTGGCATTCAACAGTTCTGAAAATATGATAAGGCTAACAGTGACAAGGGAATATTAAAATTGTAAGTACCAAGGAAGGAAAAGCCAATCCGCCCTCACCTCACCAAGAGAAGACGAAACACCTTTTTGTAGCCTAAAAAATTGATTATTCTTTTATGAAGTCATTCTGTGTTGTTGTAAGTTAAATTTTTGTAGATGGATATACAAGATGTTTCTTGCTTTATGTGCTGCTCCCCTGGAAAGCAGAAAAATGAAAAAGTTCATATTTTTTACTAAAAAAAAAAAAACCAAACTTGCAAGTTTTTCACCTATGGGTCCTATAGATGGCTAATACTACTATAACTCCTGCATTTAAAGGAAAAAATACTTGCATTTTTTCCAGTTACTTCATGCACTTTTCTACTACTACAATTATAGAAGATGTTACAGCTAATGATAGTACTAAACTAATGGTGGAAAAACAGACACGTTGGAAACCATATTTTTGCAAGACTGTTAGTTTACTTCTTAAAATAACACTTAGTTTCTGGGAGACTCCACCTTTAAGCAATTGTTCAGTTGCTTGCGACCAGCAAATTAAACAGCCCTATGTTGTTATATTGTCATATTCCCTTACTTAATATATGATTGCAAGTTAATACATTCTGATCTTCTCTTTTTTTACTCTTTCCCCAGTGAAAAGGCAGAGTCTGAAAGTTCAGATCAATGCAACAGATGACACCGTTTGCATGAGGTATCTTCGACCAAGTCAAAACACCAAACTAGAAGGTTTTGTCCTGGGTTACGGAAGCAACTTCTTCTCTAATCAGTACATTCCTTTACCTTCGGATGGAAAAATGTACATAACAGAACTTGGTAAGGCATATTTGCTTTGCATGCTACTGTTGTCATGAATTGCGGGAAGAGAGTGAGGAGAATATGAACCTTCGGGTTTCTTAATTTTTGTTTTTATTGGGTTGTTGCTCAGGGTTTCTTTGTGTTTGTTTAAGGTTGCTTCAAAGAGTTTCAGATGAAAGTGGAATTAAGAGATCCTTCAAGGAGAACAAATAGTTCTTGTTGTTTGGAAAAGTTTGCTACTGGTATTTGTTTTGAGGATATTCATTGTACTAAGAGTTTGTGCTATATTGACCACATCACAGATCAAATGGGATGATTTGCCTAAAGTTGCAGTTATAAAGTAGAATGCAAGGAAGATGTGCATGTTTTTAACAAATAGTACAAGAATCAATGAAACAGTTTTGAGAACTGTGTGGTTGATTCCTTTTGCTAGAAATGTTCGTATCAAAATGATGCCTTTTCTGGCAGGGGCTTATTCCAATTCTACATAGAATCATAGAATCATTGAGGTTGGAAAAGACCTCTAAGATCATCGAGTCCAACCGTCGACCCAACACCACCATGTCCACTAAACCATGTCCCTAAGTGCCTCATCTACTCGTCTTTTAAATACCTCCAGGGATGGGGACTCCACCACTTCCCATGTTATAGAATAACCTATAACTTCTGTGTCAGAAGTTACGGATGGAATTCCATGAGCTATTGTATGGAAGAGATTAAACCACATCAAGAATGTTATATCCTGTTGCCTGGGATAAGGAGGAAGAAGGGAATTTGGTTGTCCCTTTGATCTGCGGTTATGTCGGTATGGACAGGATAACAAAATAGTAGAACTGGATTAGTTAGAATTGTCTGATAAATTATTAAAACATTGACTGATCAGGATTTGACCTTTTAAGAAATCTGTTCAATGTCTGAGGATTCTCCTGTTGCTTTTTTTAATCTTTTCTACCCTCATCATTGTAATGCCAGTCATCTTAGTGTAAAATGAGGGGGAAGAAAGGATGCATAAGCATAGAAGTAACAATTGCTGTCTTTTTGATGTGGTCAGTTAAGGCAATTCTTGGGATCTGCTCCAGGCTGAAAACTGCAGAATAAAAAAGAATAAATAAGATGTTAGACAGAATAATTAAGATATTAGAGGCTTTCATTAGATCACTGTAGCAAAGGTTGACTTTTTCCTTTTTGTGAGTTGGTACTCCTGGGATCTCTCTGTAATTCTATCACCAATCCAGTGCTTGAGTTCATAACCGTCACTTAAGCTGTGTTTGATTTATCTGATTTATCCCATGTATAACTTTTGAATCAGTTCACTAAGAATGGTGTATAGGATTTTCTGTAGAATACTGTGAATAGGGCATAAGTAATACCTGCATAGCTGTATTGCAGGAGTAGTGAGGATTAATATTTTTCTGAGAGATCCTTGGAAAGAGGAAAAAACACTGAATGTAACGTCATGTGTAGATCATTTACACTTCCTATTTAATAGCAGCTTTAATACTTAATGCTATGTGAAACTGTATGAAGACAGAAAGGTGGATGTCTCCTGAAACATACGGGACTTTGGTATTTTGTAACTTTTAACGTTTATAGCTAATGGCTGGAAACTGTAGACCCCTTTCTTTAGTTCTGCAGTGCATCAGCGTGCTAGCCGCATGCATATTCATTAAAGCTTACTGTTAAGCAATCAAAACCTTGTAGCAATGAATGAGGAAGATGAGAAAACCCATGATACATAGAGCCTGTAGTGAAATGAACACATTTTCTCTAGTGTATCTGGAGAGGGAAAAGCCCAAGTGTTGGGGAGTACTCTCCTTTTCCTTTTAAATTATTTTAAAGGAGAATAACTTCAACATTTTAAATCACTCATGCTAATACAAGTTGTCAATCAGCTTCCTAGTGACAATGAATATATGATTGTGACTTCTGAGTGTCCAGTAACTAAAAATGCAACGTGCAACATAATATAAAGACTAGCATTTCCAACTTTAAGAAAATGTCATCTTTGAAAGGACAGGAATAAAAGAAGCTAACAGCTGTATGTACTTCAAGTTGCAAGCATTTATTTAAGGCAATTAACAGTACACTTATTGGAGCTATTGCTTTTAGTTAAGAGATTTAGGGTTAGATTATATGCTTTGTGGACTTGTTTATTGGCGTTTGGAAGCAGAGAGCACACCATCTTTCCCATTTCATGAATATTAAATATCACATTAAACTGCAGCTTTGACTGTACTTTCCAAGTGTGTACAGAACATGAGCTAAAGCAAGAAACATCAGTTGTGCTTTTGGCTCTATTTTAGAGTGACTTGTGTGGCAGAGGTGAAGAGAAGACAGTGGTGATTGCTAGCACCCCCTACAGTTTCAGGGACCAGCTTCTGGCACAAACTGGAGGAATTGCAGGATGGTTCTTAGTTTTAGGAACAATGGTTAGGTTTTATTCTGGCAGCCAGAGAACTCAGCTCAGCACACACTTTATGTGGATGTTAGAAAAAATAAGGTATTGTAAAGGAACAATAAAAATACTCTCAAGATACTTTCCAAAGATACAATATCCCTAGACCCTACTGCTGAAAAATCATACGTTATCTTTGTACTCCTAGTACATCTCATGTGATGAAGTTGGCCTAGTATGCTATCTTCATATTAAACCAATATGTTTTTAAAATTTCACACTAAAAATTGTCTATTCCATGTTCTAGATATTCTAGTGATTCAAGTGCCACTGTACACTTTGCAAAAGGTCTTCAGTGGGTTCCACACATTTTTCCACAAACAGAACAACTAGGTTTATATAAAAATATTCACATTCACCCTGAGATCTCCTTCTTGATCCTCTCATGCTTTGGCTTATCCGACTTTTACAGAAAGCAGATGAACGTTACAGGCTGCCCTGAACGTGGTTGGTTGTGGCTTTTACTGAACGGGATGTGGAGGGAGTGATTCCTGAATAAGAAAAGACATTGTGGCCTATTTAGATCAAGACTAATACAATTTAATGTTTCCTCCTCTCCTGTCAGTTTTAGTGGTTCATGGAAAGAGAATACCTTTCCCAATCAATTTAGGGACTTTGATCACAACCTTAAATTGGTTTCGTAGCTGAAATGTAAAAATAGAAATGGAGATTTAAGGCCATTTGTTAGTTACTAAAAGGTATGTTTTCCCAATGGATTAAGGAACATTACTTTAGCATATATGTCCTGAGAGAGTGACTAGATCCAGGAGAATGGAATCTCTGTATCTGGACAAAAGTGGATCTTGTCCTAGTAGTATTAAAATTGTCTATTCAGTGAAGATTTGTAAGTGAAGGTGGTACAGATATGCAATCAACTGTAGTCCCTACTCAAAGAAAAAAAATTATTTCATTAATATAGTAGTTAGGCCAATGTAAGAAGATATACAGACTTTGCATATAAGTAAGTCATGATTCCCTCCCTAAAATGCATCAGTCCTCTAAAATGTCCTTTGTCCTTTCTAACAAACAGTATAGGTCTACACAGCAGAATGAAGTGCCTTGCAAACATTTCTTTGGTTTAGCTCTGCATACCTGTTTTTTTTAATGGAGCAGCATAATCAGTATTCTGTTTGGGATAATTGTCCCTGATTGGAACTGGAGTATGGGGAATGAAGCAATGACTAACTTATTTTTTTTAATAGATGACACAATATACACAATAATATATATAAGGCCCATGACTTCCATATTTCCAACCCTGTCACTGTTGATTAAGATGAAATTTATTGTCAGATTTTCTGCTGAGTCACACACCTCTTATAACCCTGCTAAGAATAAACTTGAAGTCAACAGATTTATTAATTTATGAAATTACATGTGTATATGTGCATATCTTTTAAAAGAAATTAATAAGGACATGGTCTTTCCTAGGATTTCCAGGGAAGATATATGGCTTTGTAGAAAGGTGACATCCGCCTACATTTTTTCCATTAAAATACTCCGCACCTCACTGCAGTGATTCTTATCTTAAAATACTTGTTTTTCCTTTCTTTTGCAACTAAAATAATAACTGAGCCAGTAACATTATCCATGAATTGGGAACTACCTGCAGAGGGCATGTACAAAGAGAAAAGGGTTCTGTTGGATTTGCTGAATTTGTAATGAGTTCATGCTGGCAACAAACTCTTGAGCAGCTTCATGCATTGCTAGATAGATGAATTTGAATCACAGTGAAGGGTAAATGACAATGATGAGGCAGCATCAAAGTTTGGTTCAAAGAAGTATGCCTCTTTTATCAGCATACAGGATGTGTTTTCTTTTGTGCTGAGGGTACTTTATGAGCTTACATGACAGTAAGCAACGTTATTATGGGTCATGGAAGCTATTCAGACTGTGTTAAAAGATACCAAAATGTAAATTCAGCTAGACTAATAAATAAGGTGAATAGACCCGTCCAAAAGTTCTGAGCTTGACTTAAACCTTTATCTAAATCTGTTCAGTCTGCGTGACTCATAAAGAAAGAGTATTTCCTTGAGAAATTTATGCTAGTTTTTTCTAACTTGGTTAGGAAGATTGCAAGTCAGCCTCCTTGAATTTGTTGATACTGTTGGAGGAACCCAAAAAATTGGATGGAGGCAGGAAAATTTTGCAAGAATGAACAGCAATTAGCGAACAGAGTGAACAAAATTAATTTCCTTTTCAGTTTCTAAAACCAGGTCAGAGTTGGCCTTTCTTTTACCTGAACCAGACTGTACAGTGTAAGATGAGAATGTATTGGCAATCCTGCTTTATAACAACCATAATAAGTGATGGGTGAATTTTGCATATATAGGGAAAAATTCTAGTACCACCTTGAACAGATTTTAGAAAGTGCAATTCAGGGATGTGTGCTAGAGCAGTGCTTAGCTAAAAGATCTTGCTGTGCAGTTTCTTATATCTGATCAATTCCCAGAAATATGCAGATGTATTAACCACATGGTTTTCAAGATGCCAAATAATGTGAACATTAATTCAGAAGTATGTTGCTTCCTAATAACTTACCAAAAAACCAGATTCTTACTGC